ATGGATGTGAACTATGTTCATCTGTGGCTTCTAATGTAGATGAGATGAACATGATACTGACAAACATAACTAATTTGTGAGCCAGTATGATAGTTCAGACAGGTTTAGTCAAAGTCCGATTGATGCATATTTCTGATGTCAATCTAAGTACTGTTTGTTTACAGTCGACCAAGAGATAAGTAGAGATACTGAAGAAATTTAGGTTTTATAATAAGCAAAGTAGACAAGGCCACAGCATCAATTTCATGATCAGCTGACTCATCTCAATAAAAAATTTATGTCTTACTAAACTTCCCTGATGCATATACTACTCATGTACAGTAGAACCACATATTAGGTGTAATAGTTTAAGATTAGTTTGTAATTTGTAACTCAAAAATGTAAACATTTGCTTTTAGAACTTATTTTTTATAATTATTTTAATTTTTAATGAAAATTGTTCTTTGGAATTTATAGTTAAATAACATTAGCTTAAAAGGGAAGCAAATTTTTAATTCACTAGTTTAAACAAGAACTTTAGGATTAGAGAAACAAACCTCACTAGACATAATTCATCAATATAAGACATGCCTTTTGTAACATTATCAATAGCAGCAACCAAATTATGAAAATTGATATGAAAAATGAATCCAATCAATTTTGTACCCTAAATTGAAGTAGGATAGGAGAAATAGGTTCAATGGATATATTATAGAGCATGGTAAGCCTAGTTAATAACAATAGTATGAATTCTTAAAAATTGCAGAGTAAATGATAATTGTTCTCAACACAAGAAAATAAGTATATGAGGTAATTAATATGTGAATTAGATGTTATTTAGTTGTTCCATAATACATGTGGGTGTGTGTATATACATTATATATATTTCAAAACAACATGTGGATACAATAAACATATACAATTTTCATTTGTCAATTAAAAATACATATATTCCAAAAGAATTTATACTAGTTTAGTCTAAAAAGTAAGATTGATACAAATGAGTTCAGTTTTCAGAAATGAATGCAGAAAACTGTCTGCATTCCCATAATATAACAGGTAGGTTGAAAACCAAGACCAACCAAGTCAATATTATTTCACTATTTGTTCCAGGAAATTCTAGCTAGGAAGATATGATTATAAACCAATAAAAATTGTCACTGCTTGCCTCAGGAAATACAGAAACCAATTTATTTGAACAACATATTGCTCATCTAGGCAAACAATCCCATTTTCAGAAAAGTAGGTTACTCATGTAGGAAAAAACTCACTTACCAAACCATTTACTAATCAACATATACCTGTATATGAATTGCTGACTCTATGTACTGTTCAGCCACTAAAAAAATGGAGAATTTACATCTTTTGTATTTGCCTGGATGAAGTTGAAGAATATTCTTTTTTTTTTTTTAATTTTCAGCAATTAGGTTTTATTCACTGGTTTAGAAGAACAAATGGCGATCTACTTTGGTCATAATAAAGCAATGGTATATTAAACTATCCAAACTTAAATATGTAGGATAAAGGTTTTGTATTTACTTACATACTGACCACATACTTAACAGCAGATTATTTAAGAGTCATGTAGAAAAATGAGGTTCAAAACAAACTTTATTTACATAGGGATAACAAGGATCTCAGTAACTCAAATATTGAATAATTAAACTCTGGGTGACTAGAAATCCATGATTCACCAATCCTATTTTATAGAAGTGGTATAAAACTACATTTGATACTTCCCCTCAGTTCTCTGGTATTCTTGATGCTTGAAAAGATTCAGAACACTTTAATGATAGTTTGTTGAACAGCAATAGAAATGATGTACTTAGAAGTCAGTCTCTCACAAAGAAGACATTATATCCAAGTTCTGTTAAAGCCCCAGCCAGTAAGACCCATAAAGGAATGAAGACATAGGACAGATTCATGGTAGTAAACTGTTCCAGCTTAGCACAGAGTGCAAGGCAGAAGGCTAATTTAAGTAGCATAGCAATGAGGTACCAGGCCTTTTTTTTAATATTGTGTGATCCATGTCGAGGGTCAAAGCCAGACTTACAACGCCCAGCCATTTTCACAATCAGCATGACAAGAAGGATAGTATCAAATATCCAGACTGGAATAAATATGAGGAACCAGTTCCAAGGTGCCTTCTCATCCAGTTTCAACACCAACATGATCAAGAAGAGTAATGTGAAAAGCCAGGTGAGTAGTACTCTCTAAGCCAAGGACATTTTCATTTAAACAGCTTAAAGAGGCTGTTGCAGGGTCGAAAAAAGGGAAATAGACCCTGGCAGCACTGCTGGCCAGAGAGTGGTGTGGGGTACGAAGATCAGGAAATTTACCAGTTTGGATCCTTGTCCTTTTCCACACTTTCCCCCCCATTAAATCCAGAACCTGTCACATGATAATTGAGAAAAAGATTCAGTTCCGCCTCCCCAAATGGCGGAAGTTGACTATCTATCTCTCCAAGAATATTCTCCTTAATAAAGTATCTCAAGAATGGAAAAGCAAACATCCTATGTACTCAATACTAAATTGAAACCAGCAGATGAGTACAATGAGTACCAACTGAGTACAATGTAGGGATATAAGGCCCATCTCCTGAGTGAAGGACTCAACTACAACTGGGACTATACTGTACAAACACAGACAATGTAGCCTAACATACCTTTATGTTATCCAAAATAAATTTGTTTAAAAAAAGAAGAAAACTGCTGTCTCACTGTCCCCAATCATAAACTGTTCTATGACAAATTTCACTCACCCCAAGATTCCTTCATCTAAAGACCCACCTTGTAAATCACTTGAGCTCATACCTGAAAATTTTATGATTACCCAACCCTTTCTCCCACTCCTGAGATACTCCTGAGATTCTGTCAAGATGGCATTCTTACTTGCTGCAGTACATAATCATTTTAGCTTTGCTAAATCAATAGCTTATTCTGGTAGGGTTACCAAACAGCAGGGAGACAGTGGCAGTTTTGTAGCCATAAATGATTTAGAATTAAAACCATAGGGTAGTTATTTGCAAAAAGATAATAACTAATAAAATAATAAAAACTTAAACAATTTAAATAAAAACGCAAGGAAGTTGGTGAAAGCACAATAAAATATTGGTAAGAATATTGAATTAAAAAGTCAACCCAAGAAGATGTTCAATATTTCACATAAAACTACACTGTTTAAAGTATTTATAAAAGTCAGGAATAGAATTGAAATTATCTGTATTAATGGCACTCTTTCCATGACCCTAAATAGCTTTTGTTAATTCTTTTCTTTTTCCCTGTGTTATGATCATTCTGATTGTATTTATGGAGACGTACTCAATATGCTCATTGACTTTAATAGTAAAATCTGAGTTTCTATATCGTATATTTTTCCAACTATTAAACTTTTGTTTTATTTTAAAAGTTAATATGACTAAGTTAGATTTAAACTTCAAAACAAATCTTTGAAACTTCAAAATAGTTCTTTAAAACATATCTGTGAAACTTCAAAATAAACTTCAAAATAAATCTTTTGCCCTTTACCAAAAGCACTAACTTAGATCATTTTATAGCTTTAAATCTTAGGTCTTAATCTTATAGTTAATTTTTTAATCAACATAAACTTTTAAAGTTAAAATGCAAAAAAAACTAAAAACTAAAAAACAAAAAAATTAAAAATAAAAAAAGCAAAAGAAATAGCAACTTAGAAACAAAACATACTAACAATGCTTAGTCCTGATTATGATGAGATAAGAGAACTCCTGCTGGGTACAAGAGTCTTAAAAATTAAAAATGTCCCAGTCTTATCTCAAAAAGAAAACTTTCTCCTTCTATATTTCGGGGCTCCTCAGGAAATAGCTCTTTTAAAAACTTAAGGCCTGGAACAGTAGCTCACACCTGTAATCCCAGCACTTTGGGAGGCTGAGGCAAGGAAGAGGATTGCATGTAGCCAGGTATTCGAGACCAGCCTGGACAACATTGTAGGACTATGTTTCTACAAAAAAAAAACATAATAATAATTAGCTGCTCACAGTGACAAATGCCTGTAGTCCCAGTAACTCAGGAGGCTGAGGGAGGAATGTCACTTCAGCGCAGGAATTTGAGGGTACTATGACCTATGATCACACGATGCACTCCAGTCTGGGCAAAAGAGCAAGACCCTGTTTACTCTTAATTAATTAATTGAGATGAAAATAGCAATTAATTTGGAAATTCTGGGTGGTTTAACAGTTTAAAACACTGTTGCCTAAGTAGATAAAACTTCTTCTCACCTAAAATATGAATCATACTCACTTCTTTGCAATGACTTGTATAACTAACATTTCTGGGAGTACTATTAAAAATACTCCTCTAGGCTCAGCACCTGTAGCTCAGCAGCTAGGGCACCAGCCACATTCATCAGAGCTGGCAGGTCTGAATCCAGCCTGGGCCTGTCAAACAACAATGACAACTACAACCAAAAAAATAGCCAGGCATTGTGGACGGTGCCAGTAGTCTCAGCTACTTGGGAGGCTGAGGCAAGAGAATTGCTTAAGCCCAAGAGTTTGAGATTTCTGTGAGCTGTGACACCACAGCACTCTACCCAGGGCAACATAGCGAGACTCTGTCTCAAAAGAAAAAAAAAATACTCCTCTAAAAACGCCAAGAAATACCAACCAAAGTACAGAAAAATTGTCTGAAATGCAGAGTTGGGCTTAAAAGAAAGTAAAGAAAACCCTCAATGACAAAACTCAAACCATGAACCATGTTCTCACAACCAAAGAAACAAGCATAAACAAATGTTATCATTGACTTAGGTGAGAATTTGAGTACCGTGTTTCTCCGAAAATAAGACACTGTCTTATATTTATTTTTTCTCAAGAAGACACACTAGGGCTTATTTTCAAGGGATGTCTTATTTTTATTAAGTATAATACAACAATCTACACTATTTAAATACAGTTTTAAGTCATCTTCTTCTGGAACCTGATAGGGGGTGCCGACCTTGGTGGTGGGGCTGGTCCTAGTGGGGCTGGTGCTAGTGATGCGTGAACTTCTTTCTCCTTAGCTGTTAGCACTTGAGCAATAGGATGCCTGCGACCACGGTTACCACATGCGCACCTGCACAAGTGCCAACGGCTTGGACAAAGGAATGGTGGCACATAAAAGGTATTCCGGTCTTCCTTACTGCTCCACACTGAAATGCATGACATGGCTATGCAGTGTATCTGCATAGCCATGCCACTCACTAGGTCTTATTATCAGGGTAGGGCTTATATTTAACAAATGCATAGAAATCCTGCTAGGGCTTATTTTGCGGGTAGGTCTTATTTTCAGGGAAACATAGTATGTATATCTGTTTGGATATGTTAGAAGAGGGATTCTAAGGCATGAAACCAAGAGGCTTTAGCTTTAATGACTCTGTGGCAATAGGAGATAGTTTGGAGCCAGTGCAACATAGAGAGTTGAAACTGAGACATCTTCCTAAAATCAGGTACCTACTCTCAGTGAAAAGAAATGTGTCAAAGGAGGTAATAAGCTTATCTCTCTGCCTGGTCTGAATTGAGAAAATATCTTTCCTGAGAATTCATAATAATGAGTTTGCCCATACATTGGTTTGTGGTCTGATGTAAGAAATTAATGTTAAAGCAGTACGGGTTGTTAATATGCTCATGGCACAAGGCAAAAGGAAATGTAAAATCCCTCTGAAGAGATATGCTTTCTGTCAAGGTTTGAAGCATTTTCACTGAAAAGCTATCCTAAAGATAAACCACAATCACAATTCACAATCCATTTTGAAAAAGAGTAGGAAGACACAACAAACGGCAAGATTAGATGCTCTCCCAACAACTGCTATTGAATAGAATATAGTCAGTATCTTTCAAATTACTAAAGGTATAAAAGAATTATAGAATTATACATGACAGATTCAGATATTATTTTTAATGAGAAAATATGAAAAATAATACTTCTAGAAATTAAAAGAATGATCACTAAAATGAAAAAGTGGTTAAACAGAAGAATTTGTAAAATAGAAAAACATAAGAAAAAATTAATATAATTATTATTTATAAGGACTGGGCAAAGTGGCTCATGAGTATATTCTTAGCACTTGGGAGGCTGAGGCTGATAGATTGCCTAAGCTCACGAGTTTGAGACCAACCTGAGCAAGACCGAGACCCTGTCTCTAAAAAATAGCCAGGTGCAGTGGGGGTGCCTGTAGTCCCAGCTACCTGGGAGGCTGAGGCAAGAGAATCGCTTGAACACAAGAGTTTGAGGTTGCTGTGAGCTAAGATGCCATGGTATTCTACCAAGGGTGATCAAGTAAGACTTTGTCTCAAAAAAAAAATTATTTATAAGACGGTTTAACAATATTATTATTCTTATTTTATCTAAGACTTTGACACCGTATGTGAATCTTACACTTATACCACATCACAATTTAGTCATATCTCAAATTGCTAAATAGTGGTTTGTGTCTACCACACTAGACACTACAGATATACCAAACTGATACAATCAAATTACCAAATAGCTGACTCCATTGCTTTCAAGGGCATTATAATTATTGTTATGTAATTTGGAAGTACCACCAACTCTGTGTTCTCTTCCTAAGGAAGTCATCATTCTATTTACTAAATGTATTACAATAAGATAAACAAGAATTATTGGACTATCGTGTCCATGGACCTGCTGTGGAAAACATTCACCTTAAATAATACATTTCCTCCACCCTGATAGTGACTCAGTTAACTCACAGGTGGAAAGACAAGTGAATAATACAAGTTTATAAAAATGATATTTAGTTTTAGCTTCTTAAAATATCAATTTTAATAAAAATATTATACCTAAGTAAAGTCCATCAATTTGCTATCTCCTTAATATTTTGAGTTATGTATACAACAAAATATCTGAATTAATTTTTCACATTTCAGTCATTTACAAAGTTAATGCTTTCTATATCAATTCAAATCTCAGTTGTATAATAGTAATTAAAAACAACTCAGGTAATATAATTTTGAATTAAACTGTAATGTAAAAATTTAGGATTCAAATCTAAATTCTAACTCCTTTGTTAACTGTATATTAATGGAAAAAATTATTAAACTTCTCTAAGCCTAAGATGTATGATGAACCTAAAATAATGCCTTTCTCACAAGGTTGTTCTAAAGCTAAAACAAAAAAGCACTTTTAAGTGACTGGCACATGGTAAGAACATAATAAAAGTTAGTTATTATTATAACCATAGTATCACCATCTTTATTAAACATAATTGGATAAAAATTAAACTATATAGTCCACAATTAATAATAAAAGCATAAACTTAA